CAGGTGTGTTTGGTTAGGGTTGGAGCTGAACTCTGCAGGACTGCGGCTCTCTAGGACCGAACTTGCCTACCCCTGCATTAGGATTTAGTGGTTTTAACAAGTCACCAATAGAAGGCGACGAATTACCGGTGGAGACACACGGGGACGGTTACAGTTTCCATTAAAAACAGTACAATTCCCACTAAAAGTGGTAAAACAATTACAAATTCTCTGAGACAAAAAGTCAAAAACCCAATAGCTTTGGTTGGTTGATTTGTGTTGTCTCAACAGGAATAAAGTCATACCCTTCCCTGCAGACAGTAGAAAGTGTGAAGTAAAAATAATCACTGTTGTTTCCTCAACACACCACCAGTGTACTTTGAAGAAACCAAGCTACAAGCTTACCTATAGATGTCTTTGCACATTAAACACATTAAGCACAACGTTTGTAACACTGAGAGTCTCTCGCCTGCGGTGGATGTTGGTCACGCTGTCACTTCATGACTGTTGCTCTATTTAAAGATTTGCTCAGCTGTTGCTCGAATGATACAGCATGATAATGGCACTATTTCACGCTCATCCTCTCACCGCAGGCTGTGTCTGAGCATATCTCACCCCAATCCATGTTTAATCAGGATAATTCAGCTCATCTTGCTTGAGTTTACTGATGTCTATCTACACATCACTCTCTGAGAGATCTCGCAATGAACATATTCAAACTCCAACCTCACAACAGCTTCTCTCTTTGCTCATCGTGACGCTTCGTCAAGCTTCTTAGCATCAAACTAAAATATTAAAAGTATTTAATGTTTGTTTTGTATGCTGTCAATGAAATATTCAATGCAGTGCTACAATACATTAAAATGTAGTCTATTTTATATTTATATATTTGTTATGTTTATTTATATATGGTATTTATCCAAATTATATTTATATAACATTTTAAAAGGTTTAATTTATTAAGATTACAACATATTTAGTATATAAATACACTGTTGTTCATTGCTAGGTCATTTTCGTGCATAATACACACAACTTGAAATGACAAAAAATATAGACTACAGAAATAAACATTACCCAACATTACTAAATGCTGTAAAATTATTATTTCATGTCAACTATCACATTAACTAATGTTCGCAAATGAAACCTTCCCGTAATGTGTTACAGTTTAATTAATGTAGTGATTTTAATAAACTCTCTTAAAACTTGAGCCAAACTGGAAAACTGTAGTAATAACCTAGAAAACACCAGAGCAAAACAAAGTCTGATCAATATCAGTCACGTGTCTTTAGCACCAGTATATGGAATCTATTATTATTATTATTATTATTATCATTATTATCATTTTCAGAGCTTGAGAGCTTTGGTATCTGTGATCTGCAGTAAAGATTCTCCTTTCACAGAATTCTCCTTTTGCAAAACCTTTCAAGATTTCAATGCAAATCTGCTGGGTTAACTGAATTACGTTGTTATCTCTTGATATATTTTTGAGTTTTAGAGCCCCTTCAGCATCTGAGAGAGACAAATCATCTGCCTTCGGCGCTTGGGCAAAACAATAACGGTGCATGACAATCTCTGCCCACACGTGATGACGATGATGATGATGAGGAGGAGGATGTGTGCGGGGGATCAGAACGCTTCCAACGTGTCAGACGACACTGAGATAAATGTATGTGTTATGCTGCTGTCGTGCCCTGTAAGAAGACAAGCGGGAAGGAGGCTCTCGTAGCGGCCCATCATTCATCTATGATGAAAGCTCTTAGCAAATGTCTCAGCTCCCATTATCATGTGACATGGAAAGAGTCCTGACCGTTGACAATGGTGTCGTGAACAACAGACACGACGGCGTCCCAGCTGAGGCAGCACTGTGAACAGATCGTAGAGGATTTACACAAACTAACTGTTCACAGACACTCTTATTACAAACTTTTTCCTTCTGGTTGACTGGGGAAAAGTTGCACAATAACTAACAGTTTGAAGATATTGTTCTATAGTCACATCCAGTGGGATTATGCAGTATATCTTGGGAAACCTTCTGTAAGACAGCAAATGTAAGTGAACTGTTCTCAGATCAGCACTTTAGAAGTTTGTGATAAAACTGGGAAAACCTGCTTCACGTGTGTTATCATGTCTGTGCTATAATCAATCATAAATGCATCATAAACTCATTGTTGGATGGTAATTGCACAGTGAAATGTTGAAGGCACTGGTACCGGGTAACATGCATGTACAGTATGCTCATTTTCATAGGCTTTTCATGGTCATGCACAATGGTAATACTGCGTGATCACGAACCAATTAGGGCGGCATATGTTAGTGCTGTTGTTTCTAACAAAACGACGCTTCCGATTCATGTAAAGTAATGAGAGAGCGCATGAGATGAGTTGAGTGTTGTGTAGCCTAAGGGAATGCTAGAAAAGACGTGGCGAGGTCACATTATCCATACACAGGTTTTGAAAGCAGATTTTCACTACTGTGTGTTGTGTGAAGCTGTGCAGTCTGTTGTTTGCTGTACACAGAGCTGGATTCATCCTGGATGTGTGTACAGAAGAGGCTTGAGCAAGAGCTCGCTTTCAAACAAACCCACTCCTCAGTCTGGAGGCACAAGGCTAACAGTCAAAAATATTTCTGGCAACCCTTCAGAACCTGCTGACCAAGGTCATCTAGAACTGCTGCTGATACACTACTGATCTGTTTTTAGACATTCATATGGAACAGAGAGCAGTGGTAGATCATTTGATGTCACATTACAGACAAAACTAGTATTTTAATGTCAATTCTAATAATCATTTTAATAATCAAGATTACGGTATCCAGGGAAATCACATCAGGGACTATGATTTCGCCAAAAATGTACAGCCTTAGTCTGAACAAAATGTGAAGCGACCAACTACAGCAGCACTTCTCAACTCTGGCCCTCGAGACTTCAGCTTCAGCACCATGTCAAACTCACCCGAACGTGCTGATGAAGGTGCTCAGGATCACTAGATAGTTACTGGCAGGTGAGATTGATCAGGGTTGAAGCTGAACTCTGAAGGAAAGTGGATCTCAGGGCCAGAGTTGAGAAACACTGAACTACAGTTTATTTGGCAACATCGGATGTGTAAAAATGAACTTTAAAAAACCCGTAGCAGTCTGAATGTTGTCTTAAAAGCACTGAAAAAATAGCAGAAATGTATACAGACTTTTTGCTACTAACCACCTATCAAAAATGGGATTCATGCATAGTATCAGCTGAAACTAGAGTCAATGCAGCACAACGGCTTAAGACCATCTGCAATGGCCACGTCAAGGCAAACGTTCCAAATCCATTGATGATCATAACGCAACTCAAGCACATGCAGCATAGTAGAAAAAGAGCAGGGCATCTGCTTAGTGTCGGCGACTACATGACACATCCAGAGTAGACACCGCCATTGATCCTAACAGGTTCTGCTTGCTTTCGATGCGCTGCACTCACAGCGTTAGAGCTGAATGAGCTTGAACACGTACCTGTGACTTTGAGCTCTGTGGTCCGTCTCACAACTCTGCTGCCATATTTGAGTTCACAGGTGTAGTTTCCTCCGTCGTCCTCCTGCACCTCCGGGATCCAGAGACTGGTGGTGTTGATGATGATGGAGCTCCTCCGCTCTTTCCTCTGACACTCCTGAGGAAACACAGCACTCTTCATCATCCTACTCTCGCACTCACTCATTTCAAACCCATTATCCTAAAGCTGATTTTTTTTTTTTTTTAAGATAAAACTATGTCTGTTGGTGCTAGAACAGCCTTCCTGTCAAAATCGGATGGTTTAAGGCTGGGGTGTCCAAACCTGCAGTATTTAGCTCAAAACCTAATGAAACACACCTGATCCAGCTAATCAAGGCCTTCAGACTGACTAGAAACTTCCAGGTAAGTGTGTTGGATCTGGCTGGAACTGAACTCTTCAGGAGCAGCACTGGACCTCGCTGCTTTAAGGTTTGGGGCTTCGACAGCGTTGTTAACGTCCTTCCCGCTCCCCAGTTTCAGGGAATGTTTAGGTTAGGTTTAGGGCTAGGAGTAGAGACAGAAACCAAAAACACGCTGTGCGAGATATAACTCTGTACCTTGTACCAGGTCATGATAGGCTGCTTGTAGGGCGCGAGATAGTCGTCGATGTCAGGGCAGCTGATCATTTTGCTCTTGGTGATCTCGGCGCTCTCCTGGTAACGTATTCGGCTGCTGAAGCAGAGTCCCTGCTCGCTCTCCTCCACCGTCAGAGACATGGACACCTTCATACAGTACGTGGAGTTTCTGTCAAGACACACGTATATGACATCACTGCATGATAAAAATACTGTACTCGGAATTCCTCCTCTGAGCATTTGTTACAAACAAAGCTGTCAAAACGACTGGTTTCTACTTCCTCCACACTGTGACATCACACTGTGATAGAAATTTGCAGCAGTACATCAGCGCCTACTTTCCCTCATGACTTGTGTGAGGAGGTGAGAAGGACAGAGATGCAGTGACATTAGCCAATCAGAACAGTGACCGTTTACTGAAATTCACCACCAAAACAGTATTTTAGACAGAATGAGGATGGAAAATTGACACGTTGCAAATATATGACAAAGTTTTGAGCAAAACAACGACAAAAACTCACTAGCTCAAGGAACATATTAAAATAAAAAAAGAAACTCTTTAGCATTTACTCAAAAACTCTTCTGCTATTTTATTTAATATTTCTGTAAAAAGTTTCCACACATATTCCACATTCATCATCAATGCCGAGCTATTTAGCTGATTTTGGTAGAGCATCTCTTTGAAGATGTCTCTCTCAAAAGTCTCTGTGGGCTGTTGTAGGTTTGCAAACACTCAATGACATGAATGTGAACATGAAATGAACCTGGATTCTCCCTATTCATTTAGCTCTGATTCTAGAAATCTCTAGCTTTTTCCACACTTTTTTAAGTCTGCCTGCATTGATTTTCTTTCATTCTGTGTAACGTCAGAAGCACAAGGCCTGGCCACAGCGGTAAAACAGAGCAATTACTGGCACATTCGATATAAACAGTTTAGTAATTATTAACATCCCCACTGCTCCATCCTTGTCTTCTTCTTTTATCCCACAACGACACCCGGCTGCATTAATTGAGAGTTGTGTTGTGTGATTCTGTTATGAAAGAATCTGATAACTCCTGTCATAATGTTCAAAGGGAATCAGTTAATGATGAAAAATACAGTGGATCTGAAAAAATGAGAATACATCTGCATACAAATAGAAAGAGTTTTTTCCTGAGAACGCTGTGCTGAGATGAAACAAACGGTATCCCACACACAGGAGACGTCTCATTAAACATGCATATATGCATATTATTCAGATATGTAAAACCATCTTCCCAAGATGACAGCTTTTCCACATGAGTGAGGGCTATTCAAAACAATTCAAAAGTCTCACATTTAATTATTTAAGTAACGTGAAAATAAAAGTTCCAGAAATCAACACAAATTGAATTGTTTCTGGGCCAGTGCATCCATCAGTGCGGGCGTAGATATTACTATTATTACTAGTAATAGTGAAACACACGTGTGCTGACCGATCAATAAAGTTGAGTGATTGAATCTTGTGTGATGTGGATCAATGCAGTTATTTGAGGCCTGAGGCTGTGGTGAGGCCAGGCAACGCGTCTCCTCCTGTCCCTGATGACATTGAGAGTGGACAAAGGACCCTCAAACCTGCTGACCTACACCTGATTGCATTGGCTTTAGAGCATTCTTCAGTGTTCACGAGGAGAGATTTGAGCTGTTATCAGCCTGAAGAGAGGAGAGTACAGCTGACACGATCCAGCAGCGACTGAAGAAGTGCCATCTGCCCTCCCTTCAGCTACTAGTTAGGACATTAGGCTAGTGTTTGAGCGCTAATGAGGCTTCAGTCGTCCAGTTGTGCTTGAGTGTGTGAGAGCTGCCACTCTGCATATTCATCTGAAGAATCACAAATATTACAAACCAAAGACTGAAGCTGATCAGATACAATTCACAACATCTCACATGAGGGTTTTTTTTTTGGGCGGGGTGGGGTCTGTCAATGTAATAAAGTTAAATATAATAAAGGCAACAAATTAAGAAATATGTATTTCTGTATTCATCCCTTTACACAAATTCTTTGTCTTTCACTACAGGCAAAACGACCTGCTTGTGTAGTAGAGCTCTCTATGTGTCTGCAGCTACTGATTGTGTTTATTAGCACTGATTGCATTATTGTGCCCTGTGGTGTTCATTAACTGCTGCAGTGTAATGGCTTAAACTGTATTGAATGGGACTGTATTGATTGTTGACTGAGAAGGGCAGTCTGCAGTTCTGGCTGTAGTGTTCCTCTGCATTACTCCTCTATTACTGCTACACTCACCACACCAACAAAACAGATGGACAAGCTAGTACATGCTAGTCTGGGGCAAATTTCATTTGAATACTGACTGTCTTCATTTTCCCACCACGAGATTGGATTTATTCCTGTCAAAAACAGTAGACTGCAAAAAGCTTGCAGTCCAAGTTGTCTGTACACTGATTTGCAGTGGAAAACAAAAAATAAAATAAACAAAGAAGAATATGAAGGAGAGATGGCTGCTCGCAGAAGCCATGTGTGCTGATGTTCTTTTGCAGATCTATGACTCCACCCCTGAACTTTCCCTTGCCCTGTATCGTGCTCTCTCATTGGCAGTAGGCCGTCGCTGATGTCCTTTCCAGTCAAACACATTTCACACTACAAGACTGCAGCATGCCAAATATCTCGTCTTATTATCGTGTCTTTGATAACACACACACTACGCGATTGTTACTAGCACCGATTTGCCTTTGATTTTGGGCATTTGTCAGTGATTTCCACAAAACTGTCGGCGAGAGAAAACCAGGGGTAAAATCGTGCAGTGTGAACCCAGCATTAGAAAGGAAGTTTCCAGAAGGGCTCCTGCAGGCTGATGTCATAGATCGTGGGGGTCCAGACCGGCTCCTGGAGGACCGGTGTCCTGCAGAGCTCAGATCCAACACACCTGCCTGGAAGCCAGTGATCCTAAAGACCTCGATCAGCTGCTGCAGGTGTGTTTCATTAGGACTGGAGCTGAACTCTGCAGGACAGGACAGGATTCGACAGCCTGTCAGAGAATAACCTTTAAAAACGCCAATAATAACTTCTGCTTCTCTAGTTCCTTATGAAACACAGCTCCAAACCTATATCTATGTTCTGGTGCTGAACTCAGGAGTCCTGTACAGACAACACTGATGAACCTGTATTTTTAATGGCACACAGTGTTTTTATGCCATCCATGTTAGGGGTGATTGAATGATTTCAGTCTTGAGGATCTCGGTCCACTACCTGAACATGATCTCACACACAAGCCTGTCGACGGACACTCGGATGAACTTCACATACTTGCACATGGGCTCACATCTGCGTACACTCAGACAAGTGAAGTATACTTTGGATTTACGAGGTTGTGAGTTTGAATCTGGCTTGAATTATTATTATTATTTAAAAACAAATATAATTATATATTAGAGTAAGCAGCAAAGCCATCATCTGGATGAGTAGCTACATCTGTATATCTGTATTTCTGCAATGACGAAATGATCTGCATCCAGACAGAATGGAAACGGGCAGAGCTTAAACTGTGAGTGAGACACAGAAGCATGTCACCGTATATGTCTTGCTCAGAAGGTTTGAAACATTAACAGAGACATTTTATGAATGGAACATTTGTATGGTATACATACATTGTATGGTATACATCAGAGCATTTCCGCTCTATGGACATGTGCTCCACTCAGTCGCTAACTGCCCAAGCAAGCGCTCCGTTAATATTCCGCGTTAATGCTCGCCGGTAAACCAATTCCCGCTCAGACATAAAATTTCTCTAGTAGGTCTGATTGTTTTCGGTTTGTACTGAAATTCTTGGATAATTGTCTAAAATTAAGCATGCTGATAAATAGTAGTTATCATGTTTCAGAGTGAAATTCTTACAGTTTCTACTTTTTAATTAATTGTATTAATTGTAATGTATTAATTAAAATGTATTAAATATATGAATCTAAAAACGTGTTGTTTTTAAGCTCCTTAGCAAACCTACCTAAAATGCAAAAACTAAAAAAAAGTGTATTTGATTTTCGTTAACTTTATTTCCGTGAAAATAGCTGCCGTTGTTGTGCAATAGAACATTCAAAACAGGTTAATTAAAACAAACGCACACACACAAGATGAAATGTGCGTAGATCTTGAGAAAATACACCTCGATTATAAGGCCTGTGGAAAGCACACACAAGATAAAATGCACTTAAAGAATGCTTGGATTATTTACTGACATTAATGAAAGAAACACACTTTCTATACTGGAAGTATAACTGGAACTGTGGTCTATTAAAACGTCTCTTGATGTTTACAGGATTTTAGAATTTACTTTTAGAAACATCAGCTTGGACAAAGTGTCAGGCTTCAGGCTCATTCGGTGTGCATGGGAAAGTAATCCGGCAGCAGAAAACACTAGCCCAGTGCTGGAAGAACCACTGGGGATGCTGAAGATATCTGAACTCCATAACTTACTGCTCTACTATTGCTGCCTATTTCACAAATTCTCGATCTCGAACAAGCAAATCACCAAAGGGCATTCTGGGTTGAGCGAGCGGAGCTGAATTTTCAGAAAGGCGCTCTGCGCTCTTAAGGTAATATTACCACTCCGCTCCGCTCACATGCTCTGGTATACATGTATTGGACTTTAGTATGTAATGGGAGTAGCATTTCAGTAACTGAAATAAGCACAAATGTCAAGGCATGTCAATATCTCCAAGGCCCAAAAACTAATTGTGGGGAAATTCAGAAATGTGATTAATATATATTAGATATAGAGTAGCAAACTGTGTGGTATAATATATATGTGCACACGTATCTCCCACACATATTTGTATTTAGGGACTGTCTGTCATTTTGAGGGATGATTCTTCTGCCATCAAGACTTGCTCTGTAAGCAATTAATTTGTTGTAAATTTGTCTTTTTTTAAGTTAGTAATTTTTATTTTTTAAGTTTTAAGTAATTTTCATTTAAATGAACTTAGCATTTGTTCTATTAAACTTCAAGTCAAGTCACCTTTATTTATATAGTGCTTTATATAATACAGATTGCAAATTTAGCTGGGTTTACAGTGTAGTCCCATTCTCATCCAAATGGGGGCAGTGCATCAAGAAAACATTCAGCTGTTTTGTCACACACTATCATCCAGGTATTTCCCTGGCCAGTGCTTTATGATCTTTTATCTCCTGGAGGGGG